TTGTCATAGTACTTAGCAAACGTGCTTTCTGTGCTCCAGCCTGCTGTTTTTAGTATGTCATTTATAGTAACATCAGCCCTTTTTGCCGCAGACACTACAGCTGATCTGGTACTGTGTGGTTTGAATACTGACACGTCAATGCCAGAGTTTGACAATACTTGTTTAATCCATTTGCTTATTGTTTCCTTGGTAACCTTTTTATGAGGTTTAGAATGAGAAATAAACAATTGACTTTCCTCTCCTCTGAGAGGCCTTGTTCGGCGTAAGTACTCTTCCAGAGTCTTAACTACACATAGACTTGTATCAGTCAATAAGGCTTCAGAATAACCTTAACATTGGGCAGACCTGGACGGCTCTGCTTAAGTATAGCAAAAAAGAAGGTATAAACCGAATCAGTTACTGTCATATTCTTAATATCCATCAAATGAAAAGTTTGGCATCTTTGTGCCGAGACCAAAGCAATTAGAGTAACTAACTTAAATGTCACTTCTTTTAAAGTCAACCCCTGTAGTGGGTAAAGACTCTTTAAATATCTTAGGACGATACTTACATCCCAAACCTCTGTATATTGTGTTTGGGGCGGTCTTAACCGAAATACACCTCTAAGAAATCTGCAAATTAAAGGGTGATTACCAACAGTAGTGGAATTATTAGTCACTACCGTAGCTGAGAGTGCAGACCGAGCGGTATTAAGTGCACTATAGCCAAGGCCAGAATGGTATAATTCTGCCAAAAAGTCCAAAACTGTGTTCACAGGGGGACATATTGGATCAACCTGTCCTTGACGACAGAAGCGAAGCCATCTTTCGAGGTAGCCAGAGTACTGTTTTCGGGTTCCCTCTCGCCATGAGGCCATGAGGATTTCGGTTGCTTGTTGAGAAACATTTTGCATTTGGAAGGATTTCCTGATAAGTGGCAGGCAACCAGCCGAAGCTTGTTCCGTAGAGGATGAAGTTGATCGCTGCTTGGTAGGGTCATCATATCCCTTTGTCTTGGCAGCAGTACTGGCTTGTCTACTAACATCGCCATGAGCTTGGGAAACCACGATTGGGTTGTCCAGAAAATCAGCACCCCTTCTGCCTCTTCTTGATCTACCTTCTGAAGGGAGGAAACGCATAGAAAAAATAAGGTTTCCATGACACTGAAAAGGCGTCTACAAAGAGAGCGCCCGGATCTGGCCTCCATGAAACATAAGGCAAGATTTGTTTATTTAGTCGGGATGCAAATAAATCAATTGCTATATCGCCCCAAAGGGATTGAATGCGATTGAAAATCTTGGGTTTAAGCATCCATTCAGTCCTATCATTAAATAATCTGGACTGCTTATCCGCAGCAACGTTCTGCGATCCTGGGAGATAAGAAGCAGATACCCATATATTCTGATCTATACACCAAAACCAAAGTTTTTGTGCGAGTTCATTACATGGCTTAGATTTTATACCACCCATAGAATTTACATAAGCAACTGCAGTGGTATTATCCATCTGGATACGCACATGGACATTCCTTGACGAGGAACAAAAGGAACATAAAGCCAAGTATGCTGCTAGCACTTCAAGATAATTGATATGCTGAGTAGCCTCAGTGGCTGTCCATTTGCCTCCTGCATGGAGTGATTTATGGACCGCACCCCAACCAAGTTTGGATGCATCTGACTGAATAACCAAGTCTGGCTCTCCATGAGAAATTTGTTTGACACTGCCCCCTATATTAGTAAGCCACCAGTTTAACTCTTCTTTGGATTTCTCAGACAACCGCATGAGCGCAGAGAAATCACCTTTGCTGTTTTGCAAAGCTTTTATTTTGTCTGTTTCAATGCTCCTATAGAACAATTGTCCGTATTCAACCCCTGAAAAGCAGGCAACTAGGACGCCAATAGTGGACGCAACATCCTGAATGGTAATCAGGTTTTTGCTTAACACAGATGTAATTTGGTTACAGACCTTTTCAACTTTGCCAATTGTTGGTTGAATAGTCATACTATTTGAATTCAGAATAAATCCCAAGAATGTTAATTGTTGCGTTGGTTCGAATACGGATTTGTCGGGGTGGACTCGGAACCCCAGATTGGTGAACAATGAGGCTGAATGCCGAACATTTTCGGTACATTCTTCTTTTGTGTCTCCCTGTAAGTAGGAGTCATCAATATAACCAACTGATAAAAAGCCCTTCTTTCTTAGGGTTGAATAAACTGGCTTCAGCAGTTTTGTAAAAATTCTTGGGGCTGACGCTAGGCCATTTGGCAAACAAGTAAATTGATACAATTTATTTCGCCATGAAAACTTTAAGAATTGTTGGTGCTCTTGGGCAATTGGCACCGAATAATAGGCATCTCTTAAGTCAATAGAGGCCATGTAGCAGTCGCGTTTCATTAGTCGCACTGCAGAGACTAGTGTATCCATCTTGAAATGATGATAAGCAACTGATTTGTTAAACTGTTTCAAGTTCAAAATCATTCTATAAGTGCCGTCTTTTTTAAGTCTGGGGAAAATTGTGGAGACAAACTGTCCCTTTTCATGGAAGGAATGTTTTATAACACCCTTTTTAATGAGCTTGTCTATTTCCAAATCAAGACTTATTTTCTCCGTCTCATGAAAATTAATTTCTGTTGGCGGCCATATTTGAAAAGGGCGGCACCCTTCCTCGAATTTAATATGGCAATTTTGAACCGTATCAAGAACTTGCTTATCTGAGGTAATATTCCTCCAAGACGAAATAAAGTCCTTTAAACGACCTGCTATATTGGCTTCTATTTGGCATTGATTTGAAGTTTGTCTTACCTCCTGTTTTACTTGTTCTTGTTCGACTGCTTGCCGCTGTGCCAAGATTGGCGGCTGTTGTACGGGCGGGAGTACAAAAAAACCCTGCCTGCAGCGCCTCTTGCGCCCCGGTACTGGTGGCCACCTCTGTCATATGACCTGTGCCCCGTCCGACCTCTCGCACGTCCCCCACGGGAACTGATTGCCAATTTTAAGCCAACCTTATTCACTTCTGACATATCTTTGACTTGTTTGGGTAGGTCATCCCCAAAAAGTTGTTCAGTGAACTGAACAGTAGTATCACAAAGATGTTTAAAATTCGGATTAATATCTTGCTTGATAAATTCCCTGCGTCGCATATTCAACTGATAATTGGCATTAGCCATTAGTGCGATCGCATCTGTTGCATTACGCAGCAGTGGTTTTATGTCAAGTTTATCAAGCTCCTTCTTTTTGGATGCTTGAAGCAGTTGTTCCGAAAGCTGAAGCACAGGTACAACTGACTTAATGACGGATGTCTGAATTTTTTGAAATTTGACATCCTGGGAGCGGGTACTGCTCGACATATTGTCCCAAATGAGTTTGTTCACTTTTGTTGGGATCACCTTTTCACAGTTCTTTGGTCTGTTATAGGTTTTATACATGTCTTTTACTTTGTCGTCGGACAATTTGTCCCGCATTATAGAGTTTGCAATTGATGCCAACTGGGCATGTACTGCATCAGAAGTTTGTTCATCTATCTGAAAATCTTGTACAATATTTGCAAGTAACTCGTTTTGTTCAGAATTATTTTCTGGTGTTGCAGCAGTTGTGCTGGCGGTATCAGGGTTTGTTTCCTCAAGTAGTCTTGCAACGCTAGACTCATGGTCATAGTGGCTAGTATTTCCACCATCCATTTTTCGCCGTTTCGGCGACACTACTTTGTGAGCAGATTCGCTCTCAGCCTCGTCATTAGACTGTGGCTGCACGGCCATGAACATTTGGGTAAATTCTTGGAATTGTTTAGTGAAGCTTGTCTGCATTGATTCCATTGCACCTTTCATCATTTGGCCTAAAGCCATTATGTCTGGGGAACATTTTTGTACAGTTTCGGAATTATCCAACTGCGACTCGTTCGTGTTCTCCTCATAGCTTCGTTTTTTATTCTGAGGAAACTTCCCTCTTTCACTAACAGTATTACCTGTTTTTGTGCGCCATTCCTGGCCACCACCAGGCTGCGCGGGTGGAAACCCAGAGAGCCCGTCAAGAGACCCTGAGCCCCGAGGACTATTCAACTTACAGGATGGTGAGAGGAGAGCAAACAGATCTTCATCCTCCGGGCTCAGGGTCAACTCGCCGTGCTCAGTCGGTTGTCCAGCCATGCTGTGCGTAAAATATAGAAAACTATTCGCCACGGACAATAAGTCACGTCTGAACGTCGCGAGGTTCAGCAGCACAATGAACACGCTTGGTCACGCCGCGCTATCTCACGTGGTCTCGAGGTGAATATCGAGAACGAGGTAGAATTGTCATTGCAGCTGGTCCACTATCTCTAAGAGCAAATATCCATACAAATTAGAATTCGCCAGATGTAAGAATACGTTTTTGACTACCATGACATATTTATTGATAAAAAAATGATGAGGAGTTGATTACACATTAAAATCATCCGGTACGATTTTAACTTATATGATGGTATAAGATTCTGATAAGAATCTTGATTCTTATAACAATCTTATAAGATTCTTAAAGGTGAGTAACAATATGGTAGATTCTTGTAGATTGATGGTTATATTTTTAAAATATATTGGCAAGCGATGGAAACTTTAGAATTTTACTAACAGCTTTAATAAGTGAAACACTTTGATGTATTAACTACAAGCATCTTGTTTAAGTTTGATAAGAACAATGATTGCTAAAATAGCAGTGTAAATATTCATGAGTCATGAATTTGTTTTGTACTTAAAAATATGACAAAGTTTTGATAAAAGAAGAATATGTAAATATTTTTGTATATTTTGGTAAAAGATGCAATTTTGAATGTAGATTCCAAGAACAAAATATCCACGAGAGGCTATAGAGAAAGCAATATATTATTCATAAACAATACTACAAAGCAGTTTGTGCTATACGCTGTATAAAAAGATGCCTTTTAATTGACTAAATTGATTGAATGTAAATGCTTTTATCGTGCGCTTTTTACATGTAAATTGAAAAATAAAATTGAGCAAGAGAAAATCATGAATGAAAATTAATCACAATAGCACAGTATGTCTCATTCGATCCAAAAGTGTGACCTACTTCAGTTTTATTAAATGAAGGGAAAAATACCTGTGCTTGGGCCATCAGCACTATTGATTGTGAATGCATTTGTTTTCTTATTTAACAAATAGGAACCCAAATCTGTTCTCATTAAATGACATAAAAAGTCAATAACATTGTATTAAGTGAATTTCGTTTTTCTCTGTTTTCCTTTCTTTAAACCTTATCAGGTCAGCGTGAAATTTGGTGAATTTTCTTAATTATGGGATGCGTTCGAGTAGCTTATCCGGATCGACTCGGGTAATAAAGGCAGACGGGTTAGCCAAGAGAAATGTGCTAATCGAACGCTCAAGCTGGGACCATCATGATCCTAACGTAATGGTCCGTAGCCGCGGGGAAACCATTGACCTAAAGCCCTTTTCGGACTGAGTCTGACTGAGAGATTTAATATTTTTCCGTCAATCGAAAAAAGTAACAACATCGGCATGCTTGGCCAACATGGCCGGCTCCCACTGGCGCGAAAAGCAACTTTTATTTTTACCTTTTCGCCTCCAAGTTTTGGGATATTTTTTATAAAGTTTATTTTCATAAAAAAATGTACATCCCAATATTATGCAATATCACCTTTCTTTTCTGCCGATTTTGGTAGAAAGATTCAACCTTGCGACAAAATGACTAAATGATGTTGCCCCGAATTTTGTATTCCGCCCTCTAGCGGTAACTGTGGATGCCCAAACGTGTATTGACTGAACGAATATTGACCTCAAAAATTGTTGAGTAAAATTTGGAAGCATTTGATTGAAAACCAATATTCCTGCCAAATTTCAGGGAAATCGGCTTAGACGACCCGAAATACCCTGGTCCTGCATAAGGTATTAACCATCTTTTGGGGCATGGCACGCCAAACAAAAAAACCAACAACAACAATAACCTAAGTGGCAATCTTTTTGTTACTAGCTTACCTAATGAGACATCAAAATTAATAGCAATGGCACAAGATGAAGGTGATTACACTACGAATTAAGTGATACATTTAATACACAACGGAGTAACCATACACATGCACTTGTAGTCTATAAGCAGGGCTATCGCAGGCACTGCATGAAGCTGGTTGTCAATAGTATCATCACTCAGGGTTATTTTCTTCAGAACCGCTAGTTTCTAAAACAACGAAAGTAGAGAAAAAACAATTCAAATACAGTCCTAATTATTACATTAGCAACAGATTAATCCACCGACCTTAATAATTAGAAGCCATAATTACGGTGGTGATATCACGATCTGACGCGCAGGACGAGCACGCACTCTTATTCCTTTGTCCAATTGGGTTTTCAAACATGCGCGCGCCTCACATGATAACCATCTCGATGAGTTTGTATACATTCATTGTGTGACACTTGATTTATCATAAAAAAATGTTCGATTCTAATTTTAAAACACAGATTTTGGAAATGATCAACCCAGTATTTTGAATTCAGTGAGACCTCCATGATTTTTGCGTATTACATAGCCTTTAAATTCCAGCGGCTGCTTTTAGTTTGTTTAAATTGTTTCAGTGTTTGTGCTATGCCTGTGTTTGCAGAGCAGAGTGGTGCGTCCCAAATTATTAAATTAATTGTGTGTTGTTTTATAAGATAATCAAAAACTGTCTGTGTTCCTACCGACACTGCAGATGACCCCGGCATCTCGGCTGTGGCTACAGGTGGATGCTGTCCAGCTAAGGGACGGGCAGTCATCGAGTTCCTCCTCCGAGCCAGTACAGGCCACGCCCTCCATGTGGACTTGTCCGCTTCCTTCCCCGTAGTGCGCTCCGGACTTGGCCTCCACGGCGCTGGGGAACCCGAGTTGTCGGCAGACCACCCCGGCATCCCTGATGTCCCAGTTTCGGTCGCAGATCGTTCCCCATGTGTCGTCTCGGAAGATCTCCACCCGACCACTGAAGTCATTGAGTCCTCCCACCAACCGAACAGTATCTGTTTCAACGATTCAGAGAAATGAAGAGAGCTCTGTCAACATAACATGGCGAACATACTTCTGTTTCATAAAAGAGTCTTAAGAAACCGCTCCTTGCCCCTTTGCATGTCAGCCATCTTGGAGGTTAGTGTTTTTCCTTTTAAGGAGGCATTCATTGTTATAGATTAAAATTAAAGAAAGAAACGGCAACACTAGCTGCTTGATGTAGCTTGATCTGCGCGCTACTTCAGATGATCTAAAGGAAAATGCCGGAACCGAATTATGTTTAGGGAATGCTTGAATGGTGATTGTCATAGCTGGAGGAGAGAGGGTAAAAAGTTTGAGGCGTCAAAATGATAAAAGCGGAGAAAAAACGGGAACATTCCCACAAGGACAACACAAGTACTACACGGATCAGGAAAGGAAAATATCGGAATCCAGTTAAAATTGTAGTCTATGGAATATGATATGCCAGCAGATTTGGCGACTAATTATAAAAAAATAAGATTGCGTCTTGACCTCGAGATCCTGACCATTCAGCTGACGTCTTCTATATCGTATCTTCGGTAACCCGTTGTTGTATTATACAAACATGGCATCCAACTTGGGCAATAACCAGCTTAATTCACCTTTCTGATGGAAATGACGTCACAGTTTCTAAAGTGTACTCCAATTGGATGGCGGGCAGGCTCTCATAAAAATTTGCCTGTTAGGAGATATCAGACGTGCGACAGTTTCTATGCACACGTGAATATCTGATACTCGGACTATAAAAAAAACAAATTGACAAAAAATATAAGTAAATATGGATAAAGGGATGAAAAAAAAGAACACGTGTATTTATATATATGAACCAAAGAGTACATTTTGAAAAGAGGAAGGAACAGTTTCACAATCAGGTGGACAAATACTGATACCTACTTAGTTTGGATTTGCAAACTACTCCGGCAACGTTCGAGCTTTCACACTGCCGATAGCTGGTACTGACAAACGGGCAGTCGGCCAGTCGGCTCTCCGTCCCCTCACAGGCGACTCGGTTCATCATGATCGGCAGGTCGCCTCTCCCGTATTCTGAGGCTGTGTTGGCCTGGATTGCTGCACCGAGGTCCAGCTGACGGCACACCGTGATTGCGTCGTTTATCCCCCAGTCATTAGCGCACACCGCTCCCCAGGATGCTGTATCGCGGTGGTAGATTTCCACACGGCCACTCCAAGCGTCAGTGCCATTCACCAACCTCACATAACCATCTGGGACTTTAAAGAATTCATTTTGAATCTATCAGAACGACTGGAATTTTGAAAAATTAAATCTGTTGGAACTATCAGTTTCACTCATTATTTTATTTGAATTTAACGTGGGTGTGTACGTGACTAACATACCAGATTCCTTCATCGAAATTTCGTTTTGTTTGTTATGATCCGAAAAGCTTAGTGATTTAGCACATTCTGCAGGTGGAACAAGGATTTATTTCGCAACGCTCAATTAATTTTGAAAAAATGTCCTCTGTAAAGGCTGTAACATATCATGTCTGAACGGAAATGTTGTTATGCCAATGCCTTATGTCAGTTTTCCTACGGATGAAGAGCTTTTGTTAACTACCTTGCACTTGGCACCCGAATACCTCGAACCTCACTTTGTAGTACTGATTAGTCCAGGCCAGGGGTAGTATGCGAATAAACCTTGCTGTGGGTACCACAGGAAAAGTGACATTCGTCGGCCGACCACTGGTCAAGTTGAACTAAAATGAAGCAAAAGCAGGATTAGTGTGGTAATGATAACAATTCAGTTTTCATTTGCAACATTCCGACACCTGCCCGTACAGTTCTTTATACAACTACAAAACATGTCTTCCTTATCAGCGGATACCGCGTGGAAAACAAATTGAGAGTTAAAACCTTTGGTTGACTACTGTTAGTTTCAAAGTGTACTTTATTGAAGGGAATCTCTTTTCATTTCCAGCAGTCTGAAGCCCCATTATAAAATAACAAATGAAAATGAAAATAACAATAATGAATACAAATAATCAGGCAATCTGGCTATGTGTTATTTGAAAAGCTGTTAAAAAAAAACAGAATGCCACATTTTTTACGATAAAAACGGCGTATAACAACTAGTAGAGTCCCAGAAGATGCGAGGATGTTGCCTGTCATCATATAAGGTATTTATACAGATAGTATACATCAACTCATGATAAACTCATTGCAATAAACAAAAACTATAGACAATGCACACTTGACATCATTGCATTTAGCCATCTATACGGGTGCAACACTAAATAGGAGATTCAAAAAAATATGAGAATCACACAAAATGAAAACACACGCCCGAATACAGGGTTCCATTAAAAAAACACATCCCAATAGGAATATGCCTTTAGGTCGATCCGCAAAATCGTTGGAACGTATTGTGTTTACTTAAAAATTCTGCTTCAGATTCCAGCGATAGATATCTTTTTTCACAGTCTAATTAATTTAGTATCTTAATTTGTAGTAGTTTTGGAGTATTTGCCTCACGTGCAGATTATTCTATTTTCATCCATAAAAGCACTTTCGTCTTTTCACTCGTCATTTCTGTCATGCATTGGCACGACAGAACAGATCAAAGGATGAAAATAATGACCCTTTTAAACTAAAGACGAAGGGCTGGAGGTATTTTACAAAACCTGCAATCATAAGACAATCCAAAGACCTCCGTTTCAGAACATTTCGTTCGCCTTGTCACTAATGAAGTGGAATGACCTAAATAAATGTAGAGATTGTAAAGTAACGAGAGAGAGAAAAAAAATCATTGTTCAATATCAAGCAAATCTCCCCACTTTTCAAATAGCAAATTTCAAAGTCGACTAGTGGTTGATTTGTGACGTACCTTACGCCTGCGCACTGATAGCAACGTGCGAACGTCTCTAGTCAAACGCTGGTCAAAATGTCATCGCAAAACTTCTGGATCCTGGCTCTCTGCTAGCATTATGAATGCGCGCGGCTATTGGTTACCAGCGAAGCAACCAACTCCAGTAGGCTGGTTCCATATAGTCGACTAGCGTAGTCAACCACCGTCGACTAGACAGAGTTCGGGCAAACGTTAGTTAACCATTGGTCTTTGCGCAAACTTGGCCCATTTAAGGAAAACGACTAATAAAGATGACTGAATGTTTGAAAAGCGCCCTCTGTAACTCACTCTGATTGCTCCACCGTCAGCATCGGCTAAACTCTGCCAGTCATCCGACTCGGCTGTGAGGCTGTGCTGGACTGAAAATGCCGTGACATGACAACAGGTCACATCGGCGCTTCCCTGCATGGTGAGCCCGGTAACCACCGTGGGTTTAACCAGGTCGACCTGGATCCACTGATCTGCTGGAGGGTGTGGCATCCATCCTTCGGGTCCTGTGGGATGATAGAATGGTTTTATTATTATCGTTGGGAAATGTGCCAATATGCAAATAAAAAAAAACCTACAGTCAGAAGATGTACAATCAGCTACGATTCATCAAATTTACTCCAATAATACAGTCACTGGAAAGGTGTGGCGGAAAAGGTGAATGTAATTCCGACGAACAGTTTTGATCCTAACAAACGCTGTTGTTTAGCATTGGAATTTTAGATCATGTTAAACAAGGCATATGACAAAGTTTATGAAGCGAGTTTCATCAGTTTTGGGAAAGAGGGTAAGATTTTATACGCCGTACGAAAAAGAATACTCACTTTCACAATCTGCCACTTTCAACTTGGCGTCCTCCAATGTCAATACAGCACTGGAGATGGTGGTGGAAGAAGCGTGCTGCGGCACAAAGCTTCTAAAGAAATGCATGATCACCCTTGATGTCACTGCACTCCTCCTCGATCGTTTGGAACAACAAACGACCGAGGAGGCGTGCAATGACATTAGGGATGATTCTGCATTCCTTCAGAAGCTTTCGGCCGCTGCACGCACCTTCCGCCACCGTTTCCTCCGCTGTATCGACATTCCCAAAGTAAGTAGTTTTTCGTACGGCATTTAAATATTATCCTCTTGCACAAAACTGATATAACACTTAATATAATTGTTCATGCCCTCTTTACATGATCTGAAATGTTGGTTTAATTCCATTGGTAAACAACAGGGTTATTTGGGATCAAATGAAGGACTTTTTTTGACAAGAAGTACATTGTAATTTCCAAAATATCACGTTATACATCTGCATTTCTGACCAATCACCGTTTGGGTGGTTTTTATATATAGAGCCTTGTCATACCGTTTGACCTAAACCTTTCATTAGTCATCAACATGAATTTGTATAGTTCCGCGATATTTTTCTCTCAAATGTTTTTTACTGCGAGACGCCGCACTTCTAGTGTAAATTGGGCCTCATATTGAAATTCTCACAAAACAATGAACTAAAGAACTATCCGGCAAATCCACTGAACGACAACTTTGGCCCATTAATTGTATGGCTTTGCTAATTACCGAGTTCTATGGTCACCATTCGGTGCCTACAGAATGACTTCATTCATGTGTATGTGTAATAACGAACTGTGCATCAATAATGTAAGCAAATAGTCCTAAAGAAGCCATATAAAACCATACTTTTCTTACCAACTCATGTTTGCGATTATGTCTTGGCAAAAATGTTTTGGTAGAGTCTTTGTTGTTGTTAAGCAGCGCCATGCAATTGGGCCCTAATGGCACGGCACTGCTAAGTTACGCAAGGAAGCATAAGCAGAAAGACGAATGACTTCATTTATCATTATATTCACGAGGCAACTAGGCACAACATAAATATGGAAATATCACCGTTAAAGGTTTACCATAACATAAATGCACATTACTTATATAGGATCGTTGATTTTTTATAGAAAGGATGCGATACCTACCTACATTAAGTCGAGCGGTGCTTGGGAGATAGTAACTACTATAGACGGACGATGCCGTTATGCTGTTGTCCGGGATGTTTCTATTTTCCATCCCCAACGCCCTTGGAGTGCACCGTGCTAGTGAAATGATAAAGAATTATTCACAAATTCAACAGGTTATAGTGACGTACCT